CTCAAGCCTGCAGGGGCCATGTCCTCCCAGGGCTCCCCCTCCAGCAGCGGTCCAGAGCCCCCTGAGAAGGGGTAAGGCTTGGTCACCTGGGGTCTGGGAACCTGGATGGGGAGAAAAATCCTTTATCACTATTTTTCACCGGCCTCTACAGCACGTTTATTCTATTAGGAATCTCCTTCTATTGCAAATCTCAACAATTAGCAGAACCTGTGGCTTTGTTCCCTGTAAGACTCAGAGGTTATTTACGTGTCATCTACAGCTGTTACTCATTTATACTTGTCGCTACTTGAAAGTTCCAGACTCTGTTGCAGCGTTGCATTATTTAATGCATCTGTAGAGAATTGCATCTGCTTAATATTGTGATAGCTGTTTTCATGCATTTGGTTATCTTTGCAAACCACTGTATTTCATGTTATGCATTTAAAAAACATTATTCTAAGGAGGGGCCCATGGGGTCCATGAAACTCAAAGGGGTCAATCGCACAAAAATAAAATAGGTCAAGAATGATTATTGGGGGGGGATCTCATTGTGTTTAAAAATAGGAATAATATTCTAAAACCACAGTTTACATACACTCAAACGCCGGGCGTGGGCGGCAGAAAGTGGAAAATAGCGTGCTTTGTCTCATTTTGCACGGATACCATTTCATGCCTGACCGTGATATTATAGAGAGACTGGAATATTTTTTGATTGAAAGCCTCACATTGGTAGTATCACTAAAACCATTTTACATCTTTCACCTCACTCGAGGGGAAAAGGAGACAACAGTACCCGTTCATGAAGAATTCTGAATAATGGAAATAGCACGGCGGCAACTTCAGAGCCTAAGACACGAGAGAAGGGGGACACAGGGTGTATTTGCTGTGAAAATAAATAGAAATCGGTTCAATGGCACAAAGACAGACTCTAGTGCTGATTCAAAAAAAGAAAATCCAGCTACGTGCTGGGTACAAGGGACACGCCTAGCATAACGTGACACCGTGAGGTTGGGCACACAAAATGTGTCGGCAAGCGAGAAGAGAATATATCTGAGAGGGATGGAGGGGGCACTGAATTCTTCAGAGGCTAGAAGATTTAGAGGGTCACTCTATACTGAGAAAGTCACGTAGCACAAATCACCCCGCGTTGGGTCACACCGAAGACTAGGAAAGATAAGGCTGAAACCAGTCTGAAATTCAATCTCCACCCCTCCCTCTCGCTCCCTCACCCTGGCTCCCCA